CTCTGAACTTTGACATTGATGCATGTTGTGAGTCTTATAATTCAGCAACTGAAGGGGCTACAATGATGAGACCAACTGTTATACAAAGCTCTTGAACTCTTCCATTATGAGGGCTACCTTTTGGTGTGATCACCAATAGGGGCCATCACAAAAAATGGTCAAAATTGAATTTCATCTAGTTATCATTTACAATTTCAAATTCTGAACAGACTAATGTGTTTCACATCCGCCCATACCCCTGAGTGCACTTTCAGTTTTATATTCCAGACATCCAGCTATGAGAAGAAAAAAAAAACTACAATTCCCTGTTGCAGCGGATTACAAAGTGATTGACAGCCCGTTAATTATGTAGTTTTTCCGGTTTGCAAACTAGGGTTGTAAGGAAGTAGGGTTTCAAAAATAACTAAACGCATAAAATAACTTCCTAACAGGCATTGCTAAAAAAAAAAGCATAAAACGTGTTGTATGAATTCATACCAAAAAAAAACATCATTAGCTAAAAATGCTTTTCTTTGCGAGGTTCATTTTCGTTGCTAAGGCAACCGTGTTAAATACTCCCATTCACACCTTGGGCAATTTTAGAGTCTCCAACTTTGATCCACACTGATCTTACCCTTCCAAAGTGACAAGTCCTCCTCTCCAACATCTGCAAAAAACCTTGTCTTGATAAACTGGGTGCAATAGTTTTCATTTCTTCAAATGTGCTGAAGACATCCACTGAAAACAGCGTGTCAGCATTCACAGATGCTGGCCAGTACCCACTTCTTATTAGGTCACTCATGTCAGGTGTCCACTGTGCCAGACATACTTTGCACAACAAGTTTGGCAAATGCAAATCATACCGACCTACAATTAAAATATAGAACAATATTTGGTTATTTTTTAACACACAAAGGAACAAGAATTAATTAAAATATAAAACCATAGGTTCCTACCATTTATGCAAACCAAAACGATTGCTCTGCCAGCTGATTCAGTGATGTTTACAGGGTCACAAGTGCATAAATGGACAGGTCTCACTGTAGGCAATAAACACACTGAAAAGAAAAGTTCAATAATTAGTCAGAAAGAATTAAAAATATGTCCAATTATGATTGTAATTTAAATAAAAGTAAAAAAAAATTAAATTAAAACAAATTTAATTTAACCACTTCACCAAAAAGGTTCAAAACACTACCTTGATTGCCCAGTGTATATTTGCCATCTTTTTTTACACAGCACACTGTTGGCTCAATGGGCTTGTAAATTCCCTCAATGCAGGACTCCCTGTTATGAATGGTGAGTTTTTTGTGTATGTGTATGTCACACTCCATACACAGCCACTCTTCTGGCATGCAGTCTTTGCAGCGAATGATGGCAGGAGATGTGCAGTGGCTGCAGTTCTGTTCTGGAACCACATTGCAGGACAGCAAGCAGTTTATGTGATAGGACCTTGCTTTCTGCCACTCCTCTTGGGCTACTGATTGGCGCAAGCACCATGATTTGGATGTTGAAGGATACTTGTTTGGGTCTTGAACATTTGCTGAGGTCAGAATGTCCTGCAATTTATGCATCTCACTGTCTGTAAGACAGAAAAATAAATAAATAATTCCTTTCAGGCTTATTGCTAACTTGCTTAATTACAGTAAGGTGACATCTTACCAAGTAAGTGTTCAGAGCAGTTTGATTGGGTAACTGTGGGAACCTCCGTAACTGACTCAAAATGAGTAGCGTCCTCACTGCCAACTACAGATACTACTAAAAAATTAGTTAGAAAGGAAAGAGATAACACTTTTTTTGTCTTATTAACATAATACAGCAGGGGTTCTCAACTCTGGCCCTTGAGATCCACTTTACTGTAGAGTTTAGCTCTAACCTTGATCAAATTCACCTGCATTTACCTCTCTAGTAATCCTGAAAACCTTGATTAGTTTATTCAGGTGTGTTTGATCATGTTTGGAGCTAAAGGCCCAGAGATGAGAAACCCAGTAATACAGTGTTTGTATAGTGACTTAAGGCTATAATAGGCATGACTATTTAGCATGTCTGACAATTCCATTGCTCTCTAAAAGTTTTTTTCCTCATAATCTGCAGATAATCTGGAATTGTTAGCAGCATTTAATTTACTGCCACAAAAGTGAGAGAAAACTTACAGTACTGGAATATTCTTACTGCATGTTTAATGGATCAACAAAGTGAAATGGAGGTTATTCTTCAATCCACTTAACAGAAGAACAGGAAAACAATGGGGAACAAAATCCCTGCTTCAAATTCTGTATGAACCTGACACTGATTGCTTCACTTCCATTTGATATCTTTGGATTTGCTTAGCATTACAGTAGTTGCGCTGAAGTTAACATCTTAGGATGTGTTTCCAGTCGTAGTTTGATAACAAATACACATTTAAAAATAGATGAAGCCAATAACATAAGTAAAAGATCCACCATATGGTGTTTCTGCTGGCACCGTTTAACATGCAGTATTTATCAGAAAGTACACTGGACGCAGAGAAAGGATGTAACTTTAATGCAAGAGCGCGTATCATATCAACAAGCAGGGAAAAAAATGCAAATAAATAACTAATACTATATAAAATTTCGATTACAGGGCAAAACATAAAAAAACCCTGTGACAATTAATTAACTGACGCGCTTTTTAAACAGCGCTAAAACCGGCAGTGCAAAATAGGCTACTATTTTATTTAAACAGAACACAATAATACTATTATTACTATTCTTATTTTTTTTAATTATTATTGTTATATTTGCAAAAAGCTTCAGTCACACATGCAAATATGACGTTAGCTAGACGCTAGCTATATCAGGATTTCTTAAATGACCGCACTCGAAGAAAAAATATGGCTTAAAATATGACCCAACCAGGCCGTGACCGGCTGGTTCTGAGGTTGCGTCCAGGCACTGACCTGTCTGTAGCCTAATATGGTGATGTTATATTGCTAAAGTTACAATAAAGACCTAATATCAACACAAAAATAATACGCTTACCTTGCGCGGGGATTTTTGGAGAATGCACTAAATCGCTTCTATTTGGTCCGTAGGGAGTTGTTGGCATTGAGAAAATTATCGCCCCTCCTGGTACTCTATTGGTAACTTCACCTTCATACATGCGTGTAATTTTCACGCCTAGAGGAGGCAAAGCGTGACACTTACACGCATACTCGAGTGGACCAGCGTGTCTGCTACACGCTTTGGCGTGATACCGGGTTGAGATACAATCCTGATTTTAGCGGAAGCTCAATTGTTTTAAAAATGCCGTTTATCGCGTTTTGGACCCAAACTCTTCATATGTATATATTCCAGTGGCTTCCTACTTGCTGTCCTTTCATGAACACACTACCACTATTTTTTTTCTGATTGTGGACACATGAAAAAATACATCTGCAGTTTGTAGAGTTTTCTAGAGGTCTTTTGCTATCATCCTTGGGTTCTTCTCACCTCTTTCAGGATTGTCTGCTATACTCTTAAAATGATCTTTGCAGGATGTCCACTTCTAGCAAAAGTCCAGAATGATCCACTTGTAGACAGGGTCTCCCATATCTTTAGCAGTGCTTTTGTAGCATGTTTCAGCTTTGTGTATCTCTGTAATGTGTTTTTAAGCTAGGATATAGGCATGGCTCACACTAACCAATCTTTTGTGATAAGACCAGATTTATCAGTAATCAGGATTTGTATGCCTTTATTTAAACAACAGGGCATCTGTGTGACGCACATGTGCCGTCTCATCTACTTCATTGATTTCAGTTAGCTTTTGGAGAAGTCATAACACAGAGATTTACTTTCTCCAGCCTGGCTTGTCAATGATCACTCAGTGTCTAATAACATTTAAAGTAAAACTGTTAGTGTGTTCTATAGGGGTCACACTTTATTTTAAAGTCGTATATGATGCGATTTAAATTTTTCCTTTCTCTTTGGAGTGTTACAAGCTCTTGGTGCATAAAGAAGATCTGTAAAGTTGCAAAGACTAAAGTCTCAAATCCAAAGAGATATTCTTTATAAAAGTTAAGAGTCAACCACACCTACCTAAAACGGCTCGTTCTAACAGACCCCACATCTATGTCACTATGTGGGAAGATTTGCATAACGCCGCCCAAATGTTCAGGCAAAGAAAGAAGGCGTAACTTTTATTCTCACTGTAGTATTGTTGTCGCCGCCATGTCGTGAAGGCGCTGTGTGTTTCGTTGTGAAAACGCAACTACTTTGTTTGGCCTTCCAAAAGAGGATGATATCTGCTTCGTCATGCCTGGAGCTGATCCGTGCTGGTTGCTGAGGAAATACAACAACTTTGCGCTGTGGATCGCCGGATCGGCTTTCACCTTGGACGAAGCGGAGTCCAGCGCGGGGTTGTCACATGTGGTTGCCGCAAGCCCTCCGGACGCTCCTTCGTCGAATCCGCTGGCCGCGCCGTTCTCAAACCGCCTTTGCTCACTCTAGCCCCCCGGCCTCTGCTTACTCTAGGCTGCCGCCGCTCACTCTAGGCCACAGTATGTGAAAAATAATGTGTTTTTTGAACCTTAAACCGCATAAACACATTTCATTACACCAAATACACAAAATAATGTTCTTTTTAGCAACATCATATGACCCCTTTAAGGTCCAATTTCTTACCAATAACAATCCATTAACTACAACATTTGCCTCAATAAACCCTTAATTTGTTGCTTATTAATAGTTAATAAGGTATTTGTTACGTTAAGGTATTGGGTAGGATTAGGTGTGTAGAATATGTTCATGCAGAATATGTGCTTTATATGCAATAATAAACAGCCAATATGTTAATAATAGGCATGCTAATCAACTAGTTAATAGTGAGAATTGGTCCCTATACTAAGTGTTACCACTCTTGGTTTGGTCAGATTATGTCTATAATTGTGACTTACAGTAGATGAAGATCTGATGACATTTTATGAGTAATCAATGCAAAAAAATTTTTGAATTTCATTAGCTGCAACACCAAGAGTTTGGTGTGCGACCAGCTTAAAGTGTAGTGAACAGTAAAACCAACTTTTTTTTATATAATTAAAATAATATATGAAATAAGATGATAAAAACAATTTGCAACCTTAAGCATCATAATTTCTTAAAAAAAAACTGGAAGTGAATGACACTGGAAGCATTGCACAATCAAGTTTGAAATGGCTGTACCATTTTACAATAAAAATAAAGTAGAAACACTGTGAAAAGTAAAATGGAATCATTTCCATGGGTCTAGTACCAGGTTTTAATCGGATCTTCTCTTATGGAGTAGACCTGGCTATCTATTTTCTATTTATTTCGACTTACTTTCTATATGTGAAGTCTATATAATACTTATCCTTTTGCATTTCAAGCAAGATTTCATCAAATCAACATTCAAAGTCTGTTAAATTTCTGTTCTGCGCTGGTATCAACCACCAGTGATCTGGTATTATGGGTTTAGGAAGGGTAATGTTATATTGACACTTCTGCTGATGCTACATGTTGTCTCTGGTGCTTTTTATTTATTTATTTTTTTTGGCCGACAGCATGTCATTTTGGAGGGATTCACACTGATACTGACCCCACAGCTTTGTTTCTTATGACACTGCTTGGTCCAGTAATAAACATTGCTACAGTAATGTTATTGACTGTAGCAATAATACAACAATGTATCCTGTTTGAAGTATGCAGGAGGCAGGGTCATTATAAAAACAAACAAAAAAAAACAGAAGAAAACATTTTCATTACTTTAAATTATTCAGTTAAACTTGAACTGAAATAAAACAAAATATAAGAACAAGGCAATATTTATTATTTTTCATTCTCAGTTTCACTGGGCCCTGTTCTTCATACATAGACTACTGAGTTATCTAGATGTAGCTGTTGACGTTTTGACTTCTTCCATTCTTTGAGTCTCATCTCAGAGTTGTTGCCATAGCAACAGATAATCTCCGGTTACTGTCCTAACCTCAGTTCCATGAGAGCGGCAATGAGAGATTGTGAAGCAATCACTGTGGGAACTCCTTCCCTTCGCTCATTTGTCTCATCATCTCACCAATTGACGAGAGCAGCAATTACATCAGAATCTGAGGCTTAACTCTGCACTAGTGATGAAGCAGTGAGCACAGCGATCTTTGCAATGTCTCGTTTGCAATGTCTTCAGGATGAAGGCTCTCGTTCAAATGTCTCAGCTCTCAGGGAACCAAGGTTACGACAGTAATTGGAGATGTTCCCTATCGAGCGTTCACTAATATTAAGTAGCAATTGCTGTGGGTACAGTATACAATCCCACTGTGAGAGCTATGACGATCAGCTCAACCAAGGCAAAAACCACACCAGGCATTGGGGTAGAACAACAGACATTCCCCAACCAACAACAACGCCTGCTAGGACAGCTCGTAGCTAATAGGTGCGGCTAAACAAATGAGCATCTTCCGCTTAGGTATACCGAATTTGCATATCCAGCGAAAATGAACAAGCACTGCACTGAATACAAGGCAAACACAGCAACGTAATAAGCATGTGAAAATGCACATAGACCTGAAGAGTGTCAACAGCTATACGCAGTACCAACTGGTACAAAGCACATATAACAATGCACATAAATCTGCATAGTGTCACAAGCTATACACGGTAACAACTGTACAAAACACATATAAGAGAATGTACATAAGTCTACACAGTGTCAACAGCTATGCGTGGTAACAACTGGTACAAGCACATATAAAATTGTACACAAGCCTGCAGTGTCAACAGCAAAATTTGGTAACAAATGTGCTAAATTAC